ATATATATATATATATATATATAATATAAATAGTCTAAATTGCTAACTATAGATCTCAACTTAAAAAACAAAATCATTAATAAAAATGAATATATAAATTGATTTTAACTTATAAAAAAGATTAATTCTTTTGTATCTCCTTTTTCTACGAGTAAATATGTAGGAAATATCAAAATATTGCTTTAACGTTAAAACACATTGCATTTAATGTCATTAATTTCCACAGTTCCGCGTTGAACTTATGCACCTTCCTATTCAGCATGTGACAAATTTGGGAGGTGTTGGTTAACAATCTATCTTTGGGTCGGCATGTGACAAATTTGTTTTTATTGAATTTATTTAAATTAAATAGTTTAATTAACTTAAATTTATAATAAATTTGGATATTTTATTTCAAAAAATTTATTAACATTTTTTGTTATTTTGAATATTTAAAATTTATATATTTTTTAATTAAGTTTTGCAATTTGATTTTATTATGAATTGAAGTGATATTGAAAATTATTTTTTTTTATAGTCATTGTGATTTTTCTTCTTTAGTTGTTAATGAGACGAAGATGTGTATAATGGAACTGGATATTAATATGTTTTTTTTTACAAAGTTACAAATAGTTTTATTTTTAATTTTATAAAACTTGTGGACTAAGAGAGTTTGATTTGGTTGGATGAGGTATCCCTAACTAAAACATTAGTTATTTGAAAATTGTTGTATGATGGTTTATCTATTAATTTAGAGGTTAAAAAAGTAAGTTTTGTGATGTATGTGTTTTTTGTATTTGTAATAATGACGAAATTTTTTTCTCATTTGTTTGAATTGTTTTATTGTCATACAACTGGGAAAATGATTAAAAGAAATTTATCATCATTACAGTTTTCTTATTTAGAATTAGTTGTTCTATGAAGTCTACCAATCCCTTATTTAAAGTGGTCAAAGTTACTCTCATTAATATAATTATTTATTTGGACAATAACTAATCATAATTCAGAATCTAATTTTGTTTTGTTTATTCAAATTAAAGAATTAGTACATATGACTTAGAATAAATCTAAGAAACATATGAATAAATTAAAAAAATATATTTAAATAAACTCTAATATTTTTACAGCTATTTTTATTAATTCAAATAAATTTTTATTAATCTAAACTTGCATAATTGATAGTTATATATGTAAATTTTGATATGTATAAAATTTTAAGTATATTAAAAAATTTAATAGTTTTTATATACTTGAATTATTTTAACCAAAATTGGTATGAAACGATTAATTTAACCTTAGCAAAAATTTGTTTGAAAGTAATTTATTTAAATGAAATCCACTAATATAGTTAAAGTTAATTTAAAAATATTTTTAGAAATATTTAATAAAAATATTAATTTTATTATAAAAACTAACAGTATAATAATTATACAAAAAATAAATTTAGTCTCAAGAGACAATATTATTCCTTTTAACAAAAAATTATGATTAAATTAAATAAAAAAAGAATATAAAAACCAAATTAAGACTCTGTAATCTATCATTTTACACTATTATCATCATACAACATAACTTTGATACGACCATGCTTAAATATAATAAAATTTTTTAACGTTAATTAGTTGAAAATATTATAAAGATTATAAAATTAAATAATAGATATTCAATTAAAAAATATAAAAACTTAATATATAATAAAATAATTATTTTAATAAAAAATTAATTAAAAATACTCAAAATCTTCATATGTTTAAAAGTTAATTAAATAAAATTAAAATGATTATTATTACAAATTAAAATAATTTTTGTGTTTAATTTTTTATTTTAAAAAAATCTGTAACATAAAAAGATTAAGAAATATTTTAATATATAGAAAATAAAATACAATACTTTTTAGAAAAAAAAGAATTATATTATTCTTCTAACATTTTTGGAAAAGCTGAAGAAGGTAGTTATGAAAAAAGTGAATATAAAACTTTTAGTTGAGCACAAAATGTGAGAATGGTACTTATAAGTTACTGCAGAACGCTTGACCAAACATGTAACATGAATTTTGGTATCTAAACACTTCACCAAACATGTTATGAGAATATCGGATGTTGCGGGCAAACATGCAACCTCACCAACATGGAAATGCCACGTTGATTTTGGACATTCATAGCTTGCTTTGGGATTGCGAATATGGCAAATATAGAGAATATAATTCTTTTTTTTTTTTCTTAAAGTTTTCTGCTATTTTTTTTCTAAGTAAAGTTTCAGGACTCGCAAATGCATTTCACTCAAATTTGACGTGTAAAAAATAATATGTTGTGCATATTAATTGACAGTTTATGTGATTTTTACAATTTAACACAGTAATTACTAGAATTATTCGCATTTTAATTACAATTATTGTATAGCAATTACAACTACATGCGTATTGCATATACCGGTAATGATTTTACACTTTTACACGTACGCGTACCAAAAGTCTTATGAAAGTCTTTAAACTCTTAAAAATGGCTTTTCCTTTGTCTCCTCACTCTCAGCAATCTTCAAAGAAGCACTTCCTTTCAACCTTAACCAAAACCTCCTTTTTCTTTTAATCCGTTTCTCCATCTTTCTCAGTGCAAACTTTCTTAGTTTCCCTCTTTATTCCTTATCTTACTCTCTTTTCCAATCGCTTTTTAGTCAACACTTTCCTACTGGTTTCATCCGTTCCTCTACCAGTTTACACCCAAAAGAGTAGTGAACAAGAAAAGGAAAAAATATAGAGTAAAAGAACCATCTTTATTCGCTTATTCCCTTCTATACATACATATTCATATTACCCTTTTGGTGGTTAAATATGGGGTTCTCGGAGAAGCCACAAGTGGAAGAGTCAGATGGTACTAGAAAATGGGTCATCGCTGGAATCTCTTTGCGAGCGCCATTGAAGCCAATATACACCACTACTGTAGAGAAAAAGGAAGAAGAAGAAGAAGAAGATGATGATGAAGGTGACGTGGCAGACTCTTCAACAACACCAAAGGGGGAAGAAGCAAGAATTCCAACCGCGTTGAAGTGTCCACCAGCTCCTAGGAAGAGAAAACCTTCTTTGAAGTGCAACTATCGTAGCGGAGCGAGAGAATTCTTCACTCCGCCGGACTTAGAAACTGTGTTTATACGCCATGTTGAAAGGGCTAATTGATCGTATAGAGGTGGGAACAGTAACCTTCACCAACCTTAATTGGCTAGTTTAGAGCTAGCTAGAACTAATTTATTTAGTTTTGTGTAACTTGTTACTATAATATTGTATTAAGTCGTTTCATGTCTGTGTTATTATTCTAGCTAGCTAGAACTTAAATTCAGGAGTTTAGAGAGGAGGTATTTGTAAAATGATCTGAATAAAAATGACCTATTTGCTTGCATTGCATGCGTGATCTTAATTTCCTTTCATTTCTCTCTCTCTCTCTCTCTCTCTGTGCAATTGTAATCTGGTAAAGTCAAATATAATTGACGTTGTCATGTTTATCTGATTTGTTTGGTATTGCATAAAAAACATGTTTCCTTATCTGTAAATTTATGAAGTAATGCGTTCTATCTATCTATGATTCTTTGTAAATGTACAGAAGAAAGCTGACCAAGGTAGGTTAAGTTGGTTATAGGACTTGTATCTCATGTTACTACGTTTAAATCGGAGTACTAATTAAAGTACCAAAGAAAACAACTTTTGTTGATGAATAATCGATCTAAAAGTATTATTTTAAATGTTTTTGCTTAAGTCGTACATAGGTATGCTAAACATTGATGAATGTTTTGGATTTGATTCACCTAAGAATAGTGAAAAGCCAAAATAACTGAACTAGTTTAATTCCTGTATGAATGCGGGCCTATGTGTTTATGTGCTCTGTTCATGACCATGCGCAAGAATGAGAAAATCTAGGTAATAAAGGGAAGATAAGCTGAGCATCTAAATGTGGGAGTTTCAAAATGCAAAGTGGGAGTGAAATCCTTTTCAATGGGGTAGGGATATGCTACAGACAGATGCTTCTTATTGTTGATTGACTGAGAGCAAAGCCCCACTTAATAGGTCCTATAGCCATAGACTCAGTTTTAGCTTCATAGTCTTCTGTCATCTTCTTCTTTGAGAGTTTCAGGGTATTACAATACGGTCCCACATCTCCATTAAACAACCTTTTCCTCCACATTTAGTGCGCCAACTACTACATAAAGTTTAACAATTTAGATTATGGAAGTCTATTTAATGGGTAAGCATCTGAATTGTTATAAATTTACCCTTTAACTTATGTTTCTTGTATCTCTCTTGTACACTTCATTTGTTGGTAAAAAACAGAAGGAAATGAAAATTTGCTCAAGGGGTGTGATAGCACGTAACGTATAAGGGTAGCAAGAAAATAGACATGACAAAGAAAATTCCAAAATATACTGAGAAGTGACACATGAGCAGATGACCCCCACCAACCTCAGATTATAATGTTGAGAGTGGGAAGGTTCTGTGTAAATTTTTGTGTGATATTAAGTGATGGAGTCATGTGGTGTAAAGCGACAAATCACGTGGAGATGAAGATTAGAATCCTATGCTAGTTGAATGGCTCTCATTCTTGAGTTTGTAAAGCTAAAATTTGAAGGTCAATAATAGACCGAATGAAGGTTGGTGCAGTAATATATATATAGTAGTCATTATTGTTTTGTTATCTTATCCTAATAATATCCTGTTATAGTACTTTCAAATAATGAATCTTTATATGAAAACTCCAATAGTTGAAGATACAAGAAAAGGCAAAGCAAATGTTACAATAGTGGTCAGGGGGAGTTCATCTGGCATCTGCATTAAAAAATTATTCTCGGGATCGGAGCCTGTTATTGAAGGAATGCCATTCCAACACGTCTAAGCAACACTCAATATATGTACCAAAAACAAACACACAACACTGCACAATTTGCTTGCATTGCACTGACTCACTATACTTTATGGTTCCTTAGTTTACTATATACACTAATCCTTTATTAATTCAGTCTCATTATTGTTGGAGACCACATGCAGAGGAGCAAAGTTGTTTGGCATATTCCCACATATGTGTATTAATTTTAGCAATCAGTTTATTTTTCTACCTAGGGAAACAAGGAATCAACAAAGAATTTCTTACTATATTATTTCTTTTTTCAAAGTTTTCTAGAAAAGACTCAATTTGGAGTGGTTGGTGGTTCTACAACCATGAACCAACTTACCATAATGCATTTTCATACTACAAATTAAAAGTGATTAACTTTACATATATATCGTGTTATGAAGCTTAACAAAAAGAAGGATGGAATTTGATTTGGTATTTTGTTTTGTGGTCTGTATGAACTCACCGAAACCAGAGTTTCTTTTCAAATAGTCCTAATGACAAAATGTGCATTTGTTAAAACAACTTGCAAATACTTCCTTTAACATTTAACATCTCATATCAAGAGGAGTAAATGAAAATGTGACTATCTCGAATATGAAGCAAAGAAGTGAGAAGAAAATCGTCTAAGGACATCTTAATTCTATACTAAAACATAATTAAGATGACCTAAGTGGGTGGATTAACATAGTGCACTTCATTCATAGTATTAGAAGAGTGTGTATTCATAACTTATATAGTGTTCCTTGTAGTTTCTCTAGTTAATAAACTTTCACCTTTTTGTAAAAAGAAAAACAAATTAAGTAATCGGTTGGATGGGATAAAAACAAAAGCATTGGCGGTTATGTGTAATTGGAGGATGCAAACATAAAATGAGAGCACAGTGACGTAGTTGTTATGTAATTGAATCGAAATTGAATGCATCGTCTAGGATTCTTGTAGATTAATTGTTGTGCCCATGTGTGTCATTTAATGTTGCATACCACCAAAGTCTTGGGGCTCAGGACCGACAACATAAGGACGCTTTCACACAAAAAAGAAAATATAGGCAAATATATGTGATTAAGAAAGAATACAGATAAATTCTACATTTTACACTCAAAATATTTAATAATAAATATATAACAATATTAATTCCAAAATATATAATTTAAAGAAAATGAAAATAGATCCTTATGATGGTCACTTTTTACTTTCATAAAACTCGGTTAAATCTACATTATAAATTGTCAAAAGCAAATTATCGCATATAATATTATTAATTTTGAAAAATATTGAAAAAGGAAAGTATGATTAAATTTCTCATTACCTTAACTCTTAAATAATATGAAACTACAAAATATAAAAGTATTGTTCTAGCTAAGAAGTATGAAAACTCCTAAAATAGGACTCAATTTCTTTTCCTCTCATTGTCACCTTTATTTAAAGAATTATTTTAATATTAATATTTTTTATTATATAGATTCACTATATTTGTTAATAAGATATTCCTTTAATATAATTAAAAGTAATTTAAATGATATCATAATTTGCTCATTAAATGTTTATTACTAACATAAAAATAAAATACCAATAAAGTGAAGATCAAACAGATGAAGATAAGATAGAAGATAAGATCATATCTAAGTCATAATGAGGTAATCAAGAGTTTTTTCTATAAAATAATTTATTAATATTATCTCTATGAATACAACTTATCCTTATAATAAAATTTTATATTTAACTGGATTTTATTAGGATATGATTTAGGAAAGTTCCCTATAAAATGTTTGGGTAAGGATAAATCATGCTAAAAAAATCTTGTTTTCTTTTGGAATAATAGTTGATGTTGAACATGTCTCAATGTCATAAAACGATATTGTTTGGAGTATATGAGATCGAATATTTATTTAAAGCAGTTTTTTTAGTTCTTTAACCTCTTTTCTTCCTTTTTCGGATACTCTAAGTAATTGAATGTATTTGTTAAAGATATTTTGATACATAAATGAGTTCGGTATTTGATCAGTTAAGCAATTAGTGATATAATAAATGTTTTGCAAAAGTGTCAATAAGCATACCTTTGACACATATTTATAAGTTTTTATAGGCTTCTGATTAGAACCAGTCTAATTACGATCAAATTATATTAAACCTGATTACTAATTTGTTTAGTTTAACAAATTGATTTTATTTAGCACCAATCTATTTTCTCTCAATCCGATTTGTAGTGGTTCAGTCGGTATATACTAACATGTACATTTATATTACATGTATATAGTACAAATATGAAAGAGAGGACCTTTCATAATAGTATGCTTCTAGAATGAACTTGGTAAAAACCAATAGACATTTGATAACTGTTGGATGTTGATTATAGAGTGAGGAGTGATTCATGATGTAGATAGATGAGAAATGCACAATAATAATAATAATAATAATAATAGGACATGAGCAACATTAATGTTGGACTTGCAGGTTAATTCGAAACTTATGTATTTTAAACAAATAAAGAGGTAGTATTCTGGAAGTGAAGAGGCTAAAAGCTATAAAAAACTATGGAAACAGGGAAATTTAGAAGTAAAACAATTAAAGGGTAAATGATCGTTATATCTATATATTCATTTTTTTAAGAATAAAAAAAATTATAATCTTATTATTAAATTTTTAGTTTTATTAATTGTATTTTAACTATGTTAATGATTAATGTAATTGAATATGTATTTGATCTGTCAGTGGGTTTATTAAAGGGAAAATTGACTTTAATATGATTTTTTTAACAAAAAATACATGATAAATTTTAGAGAAGAAATATGTGTTTAATCATATTTATTATTAATGAAATTCAAACAAACTAATATTGTTGAACTAAGATTATAATTTTTGGTATCGTACTAAAAATAAAGTATAGTAATACTTATTATATTAAACTAACTATTTATCCAAAATTAAACTGTAATAACTCACTTAAAAATATTAATTTATTTTAGAACATATCAAAATAAAGATATATTAAGGTGTCACAAGAATTAAAAAAAAGAAATAAAAATATATATTACATTAGAATTTCACTTAAATCCATTTTAATTTCATAATTTATAAATATAATGTATACCTCTAATTTGTTTTTACAACATTTGGTTCCTAACTATTTCTTTTACATTTTTTTTATTATTAAACACAATATCATTCCATTTTACCAAAATAAGATATTATTTAATCAATAAAATAAAGCAAATTATATATATATATATATATATAATATTAATACAATCATCTCAAAAAGTAAATAATTGTACTAATAAATATTTATAAAACAAATAAGGATAACTTAGAGTCTTTTTAAAAGTCCTATACAAAATAACTTCTAGAATCTAAAGAAGACTAGTCTGCATCATTATCGCTTTCTACTAGAGGTGTATCATCGCTTAATTATTCATCTGCTCATAGTGTGAAATGATTATCACAAAAAAGACAAACAAAACACAAGAAACAACAAGGTAAGCTAGTGTGCAAAAGAATTATCCTAAGACAATTAAATCATAAA